CTGTTTAGACCTGGTTGGACTGGTTTAGATCCTGGTTAAGTCCTGGTTTAGACTGGTTTAGTCTGGTTACGTCCTGGTTTAGACGCTGGTTTAGTCCTGTTTAGTCCTGGTTTAGTTCTGGTTTTAGACTGGTTTAGTCTGGTTTCGTCCTGGTTTTAGACGCTGGTTTAGACCGTGGTTTAGTTCCTGGTTTAAGACCTGATTTTGGGGTTTAGTCCTAGTTTAGGCCTGGTTTAGTCTGGTTTAGTCCTGGTTTAGTCCTGGTTTTCCTGTTTAGTCTGGTTCAGTCCGGACTCGTCCTGGTTTAGTCCTGGTTTAGTTCTGGTTTAGAGCCTGTTTAGACTGTTGCCTGGTTTAGACTGGTTTAGATCCTGGTTTAGTTCTGGGTAGACCTGGTTTAGTGAGTTTAATCCTGGTTAGACCTGGTTTATCCTGGTTTAAGACCTGGTTTAGTCCTGGTTTTAGTCTGGTTTAGTTCTGGTTTAGTCCTGGTTTAGTTCTGGTTTAGTTCTGGTTTAGTTACTGGTTTAGTCCTGGTTTAGTTCTGGTTTAGTCCTGTTTAGTCCCTGGGTTAGTTCTGGTTTAGACTGGTTTAGTCCTGGTTTAGTTCTGGTTTAGTTCTGGTTTAGTTCTGGTTTTCTGGTTTAGTCCTGGTAGTCTTGTTTGTCTGGTTTAGTTCTGGTTTAGTTCTGGTTTAGTCCTGGTAGTCCTGGTTTAGTTCTGGGTTAGTCCTGGGTTAGTTCTGGTTATAGACCTGGTTTCGTCCTGTTTGTCTGTTTTAGTTCTGGTTTAGTCTGTTTAGTCCCTGGTTTAGTCCTGGTTTAGTTCTGGTTTAGTCCGGTTTAGTCCTGTTCTAGTTGGTTTTAGGACCTGGTTTAGACGTGTTTAGTCCTGGTTTAGTTGGGTTTTCCGGTTTAGTCCTGGTTTAGTCCTGGTTTATTTTGGGTTAGTTCTGGTTTAGTAACTGGTTTAGTTCTGGTTTAGTTCTGGTTTAGACCTGGTTACCTGGTTTAGTTCTGGTTTAGTCCTGGTTTAGTCCTGGTTTAGACTGGTTTAGTCCTGGTTTTAGTCCTGGTTTAGTTCTGGTTCCTGGTTTAGTCCCTGGTTTAGTCTGGTTTACTGTTTAGCCTGGTTTAGACCTGGTTTTAGTTCTGGTTTAGTCCTGGTTTAGTCCTGGTTTAGTTCCCTGGTTTAGAGTTCTGGTTTAGTTTGGTTAGTCCTGGTTTAGACCTGGTTTAGACCGGTTTAGTCCTGGTTTAGTCCTGGTTTAGACCTGGTCCTGGTTTAGACCTCCTGGTTCTGGGTCCTGTTTAGTCCTGGTTTAGTTCCTGGTGTTTAGTCCTGTTTAGACCTGGTTTAGTCCTGGTTTTAGACCTGGTTTAGTCCTGGTTAGACCTGGTTTAGTCCTGGTTTAGTCCTGGTTTGTCCTGGTTTAGACCTGGTTTAGTCCTGGTTTAGACCTGGGTTTAGTTTGGGTTAGTCCTGGTTTAGTCCTGGTTTAGACCTGGTTTAGTCCTGTTTGACTGGTTTAGTCCTGGTTTAGACCCTGGTTTATCCTGTTTAGTCCTGGTTTAGACCTGGTTTTAGTCCTGGTTTAGTCCTGGTTTAGTTTTGGTTTCCTGGTTTAGTCCTGTTTAGTTCTGGGTTAGTCCTGGTTTAGTCCCTGGTTTAGTCCTGGTTTAGACCTGGTTTAGTTGGTTTTTAGACCTGGGAGTCCTGGTTTAGACCTGGTTAGTCCTGGTTTAGTCTGGTTAGACCTGTTTGACCTGGTTTAGTCCTGGTTTAGTCCTGGTTTAGTCCTGGTTTAGACCTGGTTTAGTCCTGGTTTAGACCGGTTTAGAACCTGGTTTAGTCCTTGGTTTAGTCCTGTTTAGTCCTGGTTTAGACCTGGTTTAGTCCTGGTTTAGTCTGGTTTAGACCTGGTTTTAGTCCTGGTTTAGTCCTGGTTTAGACCTGGTTTAGACCTGGTTAGTCCTGGTTTGACCTGGTTTAGACCTGTTTAGTCCTGGTTTAGTCCTGGTTTAGTTTAGTCCTGGTTAAGACCTGGTTTAGACCTGGTTAGTCCTGGTTTTACTGGTTTTAGACCTGGTTTAGTCCTGGTTTAGTCTGTTTAGTCCTGGTTTAGACCTGGTTTAGTCCTGGTTAGTCCTGGTTTAGACCTGGTTAGTCCTGGTTTAGTCCTGGTTTAGTCGGTTAGAGGGTTTAGTCCTGGGGTTTAGACCTGGTTTAGTCCTGGTTTAGACCTGGTTTAGTCCTGGTTTAGACCTGGTTTAGTCCTGGTTTAGTCCTGGTTTAGTTCTGGGTGTGGTGCAGATTGGTGCATTGCGTCGGTCTGAGTCTGGGTCAGTGGAACAGCTGATCGTCTCCACGGCAACGGCCAATCACAGCACAGATCTGCCTAGGACACAAGGAGACAAGGACACAGGAAACAAGGACACAAGGAGACAAGGAGAGAAGGAGAGAGGAAAGGAGAGAAGTAGGGAGGAAAGGAGAGAAGGGGGGAGGAAAGGAGAGAAGGAGGGAGGAAAGGAGAGAAGGGGGGAGGAAAGGAGAGAAGGGGAGGAAAGGAGAGAAGGAGAGAGGAAAGGAGAGAAGTAGGGAGGAAAGGAGAGAAGGAGGGAGGAAAGGAGAGAAGGAGGGAGGAAAGGAGAGAAGGGGGAGGAAAGGAGAGAAGGAGAGAGGAAAGGAGAGAAGGAGGGAGGAAAGGAGAGAAGGAGGGAGGAAAGGAGAGAAGGGGGGAGGAAAGGAGAGAAGGAGAGAGGAAAGGAGAGAAGTAGGGAGGAAAGGAGAGAAGGAGGGAGGAAAGGAGAGAAGTAGGGAGGAAAGGAGAGAAGGGGGGAGGAAAAGGGAGAGAAGGAGAGAGAAAGGAGAGAAGTAGGGAGAAGGGGGAGGAAAGGAGAGGAAGGAGAGAGGAAAGGAGGAAGAGGGAAAGGAGAGGAGGAAGGAGGGAGGAAGGAAGAAGAGGGAGGAAAGGAGAGGAGAGGAAAGGAGAGAAGGAAAAGGAGAGGAAGGAGGAGGAAAGGAGAGAAGGAGAGAGAAAGGAGAGAGGGGGGAGGAAAGGAGAGAAGGAGGGAGGAAAGGAGAGAAGTAGGGAGGAAAGGAGAGAAGGAGGGAGGAAAGGAGAGAAGGAGATGACAGAGGAGTTGTTGTTTTTCTCTCGTGGATCATTCGATCGAGTCAAAGGAGCCGATAATCGATGTTCAGATCAATAAATGAAACTCCAGATGCCCTCCCATGTGTGTGTCAGGTGCCCTCATGTGTGTGTCAGGTGCCCTCATGTGTGTGTCAGGTGCCCTCATGTGTGTGTCAGGTGCCCTCATGTGTGTGTCAGGTGCCCTCATGTGTGTCAGGTGCCCCTCCCGTGTGTGTCGGTGCCTTGTGTGTCAGGTGCCCTCCCCATGTGTGTCAGGTGCCCTCCCCTCCCATGTGTGTCAGGTGCCCTCCCCATGTGTGTCAGGTGCCCTCCTCATGTGTGTCAGGTGCTGTCTTGTGTGTGTCAGGTGCTGTCTTGTGTGTGTCAGGTGCGAGTTTAAATTGTGAAACTTTGTTCTGAATCTTTTCAAAACAGAATCACAAAGTTTGTCAGAAAAAGTTGAAGTTTTTTTTTTTCTCTCTCGTTTGTTTGTTTGTTCGTTTGTTTGTTTGTTTGTTTTTTGTTTGTCTGTTTGTTTGTTTGTGTTTTTGTTTGTTTGTTTGTTTGTCTGTTTGTTTGTTTGTCTGTTTGTCTGTTTGTTTGTTTGTTTGTCTGTTTGTTTGTTTGTCTTGTTTGTTTGTTTTTGTTTGTTTTGTCTGTTTGTTTTGTTTGTCTGTTTGTTTGTTGTTTGTTTTTGTTTGTTTGTCTGTTTGTCTGTTTGTTTGTTTGTCTGTTTGTCTGTTTGTTTGTTTGTCTGTTTGTTTTGTTGTTGTTCTGTTTGTTTGTTTGTCTGTTTGTTTGTCTGTTTGTTTGTTTGTCTGTTGTTTGTCTGTTTGTTTGTTTGTTTGTTTGTTTGTCTGTTGTTTGTTTGTGTCTTGTTTGTTTGTTTGTTTGTTTGTTGTTTGTTTGTTTGTTTGTTTGTCTGTTTGTTTGTTTTGTCTGTCTGTTTGTTTGTTTGTTTGTTTGTTTTTGTTTGTCTGTTTGTTTGTCTGTTTGTTTGTTTGTCTGTTTGTTTGTTGTTGTGTTTGTTTGTCTGTTTGTTTTGTTGTTTGTTTGTCTGTTTGTTTGTTTGTCTGTCTGTTTGTTTGTCTGTCTGTTTGTTTGTTTGTCTGTTTGTTTGTCTGTTGTTTGTTCTGTTTGTCTGTTTGTTTGTTTGTTTGTTTTGTCTGTTTGTTTGTTTGTCTGTTTGTTTGTTTGTCTGTTTGTTTTGTTTGTTTTGTTTGTTTGTTTGTTTGTTTGTTTGTCTGTTTGTTTGTCTGTTTGTTTGTTTGTTTGTCTGTTTGTTGTCTGTTTGTTTGTTTGTCTGTTTGTTTGTCTGTTTGTTTGTTTGTTTGTTTGTCTGTTTGTTTGTCTGTTTGTTTGTTTGTTTGTCTGTTTGTTTGTTTGTCTGTTGTTTGTTTGTTGTTCTGTTTGTCTGTTTGTTTGTTTGTTTGTCTGTTTGTTTGTTTGTTGTTTGTCTGTTTGTTTGTTTGTCTGTTTGTCTTGTTTGTCTGTTTGTTTGTGTCTGTTTGTTTGTTTGTCTGTTTGTTTGTTTGCTGTTTTTGTTTGTCTGTTTGTTTGTTTGTTTGTCTGTTTGTTTGTCTGTTTGTTTGTTTGTTTGTCTGTTTGTCTGTCTGTTTGTTTGTTTGTTTGTTTGTTCCCTGAGTTGTCTGGTCGTCCGGCTCCTCGTCGGTTTCGTTGTTGTTTTGTTCGTCGTGTTTCTCTCAGCTCAGAAACTTTTTTGACCAAAACAAACTTTTGTCAAGTTATAAACTGAGTTTCTCTTTTTTCTTTATTTTAGAGTTTAGAGTTTAGTTTTATTTCTGATGTTTGTTTGTTTGTTTGTTTATTTGTTTGTTTGTTTGTGTTTCAGGTCAGAGGACTCTGT